ATATATCTACACACACATGTACATATATGTACATACGCACACACTTTTTTTTTTTTTTGGAATCCATACCAGCAATGGTAAGAGAACAGACATTACAGAGCACACAAAAAACCATCATTGAGTATACTGTGACCAGACCAACTGTTTGTAGAGAAATTTAAATCTATGAATATTTTTGCATTGTTTCAATTGTAAACTCAGACTGTTCCAGATTTTCACACCACATACATACACACAAAAACCTTTACGGGTTGTTCGAGTTCTGGGTAATTTGAATTCTCCAAAGCCTCTCACATTATAAACCTTTTCTCGAATTTCAAATCTTGTTTGTAAATTTGCCGGTAAAAGTTTTATACAAAATTATGGATGTATTGTAATTAACCAGATCCTGGAATTTAAGTAACTTTGCCTGAAGAAAGAATTTGTGAGTATGATCTAGATAACCAGCCTTGTGAATAATACGCAGTGCTCGTTTCTGTACTGTGACTAATGGATTAGTTGTATTTTTATATGTATTTCCCCACACTTCCACACAATATGTAAGATATGGAAGAACCAGGGTACAGTACAGAGTACGAAGTGCATCTTTATCAAGGAATTGTTTCACTTTGTTCAAAACTGCAAGGCTTCTGGAAATTTTGGTTTTTATGTGTCTGACGTGGGGTTTCCATGAAATTTTATTATCAGTTACGACTCCCAAAAATTTGTTTTCACTCACATTATCAATTGGTACACCTTCAATGATAATTGGTAATTCTATATTATATTTTAAATTACCAAAAAATATTGCTTTAGTTTTATTTATATTTAATGATAATTTATTTATGTCCATCCATTTTTTAAAATAAATTTTAGCTCCCTGTTTACGGTCATTACAAGATCAGTATAATCATCGCTACTGAAAAATATGTTGGTGTCATCTGCGACCAGTATGAGTTTAAGTACTTGAGAAACATCAAAAATATCATTTATGTATACATTGAAAAGTTTTGGTCCCAACACTGACCCTTGACCCTTGCCTTGTTTGGTATCATTGTTTTCAGCACAACCTCACGTGTCTGAATTTACAGTTATGTTTTCATTTTTTACATACTGTATTAACACAATTGATCTAAAATCAGACAAACATAAAATCAGAGTAGAAAAAGTTAATTTTTTTACTGTAACAACCACAAACATTTTACTGAATCATATTTAATAACCTTAGATGCAAATATAAATTGTCAATTTTAAAATCCTATGCACAAGTTTTGCAAACAACAAAGTTATTTGCATCCATTTACCTTTTACCTTGATTTTTTTAAATAACCATTTACAGAACAATCAGCTGTTCTGCATTAAATAACATGCCACACAAATTATTTGTGCCACTCCAAAAAAATAATTTCTGTCCACTATAAATGGTTTCAAATGAACGTTAATATCAGAATCAGAAAGGGTTTTATTGCCAAATGTTGAGCAGGTTTACAACATTAGGAAATTGCTGTGGTACTTAGTGCAAACATACTGTCATATAACGTTTAAATAGACATAAAAATAAGAATTAAAAGTGCTAAGTAGAGAGATATATACATGAGTGCAGGTGGTGATCAGTGCCAAACATGGAATGATGCAGTGACACAGCGTAGGGTCATGTGTTAGTGGTGGTAACAGTCATACGGTTATTGTTCATGTGTCCGACAGCAGAGGGGAAGAAACTGTTCTTATGGCGAGAGGTTCTGGTGCGAATGGAGCCTCCTGCCTGAGGGGAGCAGGTCAAACAGACTGTGTCCAGGGTGAGAAGGGTCAGCTGTGATCCGAGCTGCACGCCCCAGTGTCCTGAAGGTGTACAGGTCCTGCAGAGATGGGAGTGTGCAGCCAATCACCTTCTCAGCAGAGCGCACAACACGCTGCAGTCTCTGTTTGTCCCTGATAGTGGCTCCAGCGTACCACACGGTGATGGAGGAGGTGAGGATGGACTCGATGATTGCAGTGTAGAATTGCATCATCGTCCGTGTTGGCAGGTTGAATTTCTTCAGCTGCCTCAGGAAGTACATCCTCTGCTGGGCTTTCTTAATGACGGAGGTGATGGTGGGCTCCCACTTCAGGTCCTGGGTGATGGTGGTACCCAGGAAGCGGAATGAGTCCACAGAGGTGATGGGGGTGTCAGTCAGGATGATGGGGGGGAGTGGGGCTGTGTGCTTCCTGAAGTCCACAATAATCTCCACTGTCTTCTGGGCATTCAGCACCAGGTTGTTGTGGCTGCACCAGGACACCAGACGTTCAACCTCCCTCCTGTAGGCAGACTCATCCCCGTCCGAGATGAGTCCAATAATGGTGGTGTCATCTGCAAACTTGATTAGCTTGACAGACTGGTGGGTGGAGGTGGAGCAGTTAGTGTAGAGGGAGAAGAGCAGAGGAGAAAGAACACAGCCCTGAGGGGAGCCGGTGCTGATGGTCCGGGAGTCCGAGACGTTCTTTCCCAGCCTCACATGCTGCTTCCTGTCCGTCAGGAAGTCAGTGATCCACCGGCAGATGGGATCAGGCACATTCATCTGGGAAAGCTTGGCTTGGAGATGGTGTGGAAGGATGGTGTTGAAGGCAGAGCTGAAGTCCACAAACAGGATCCTGGCGTAGGTTCCTGGGGAGTCCAGATGCTGCAGGATGAAGTGTAGGGCCATGTTGATGGCGTCGTCTACAGACCTGTTGGCTCTGTATGCAAACTGCAGGGGGTCCAGGAGGGGGGCCGTGAGGGTCTTGAGGTAGGAGAGAACCAGGCGCTCAAATGACTTCATGACCACAGATGTCAGAGCCACAGGTCTATAGTCATTTAGTCCAGTGATCCTTGGTTTCTTGGGGACAAGGATTATGGTAGAGGACTTGAAGCAGGCAGGCACATGACATGCCTGCAGTGAGGAGTTGAAAATGCCAGAAAACACTGGGGCCAGCTCGTTTGCACAGTGTCTGAGGGTGGCAGGAGACACACCGTCTGAGCTTTCCGAGCATTCAGATTCTTAAACTGCTTCCTCACATCTGCTTCATGAATATGAAGGGTTGTAGTGGGAGAAGGTGGTGTGAAATCCTCTTTGGTGTGGGGTGTGGAGGGGGGTGTTGTAGGTGAAGTGTTTGATGGTGGTGATGGCTCTAAGGAGGGGGGAGAGGTGGGGGAATGAGTGTCCAAAGTGTCTCTATTGTTGGGGCTGTTGGAGGTGTGAAGGCTGCCTGATGGCTCGTCAACACGGCAGTAAAAGTCGTTAAGGGTGTTGGCCAAGAGCAAGTCATCAGTGGAGTGGGCAGTTTTAGGCTTGTAGTTGGTTGTAACCCAGAGTAATTTCCTGCACTTATTTCCTGCCATTGAACGTATCACAAATACATGACTCCAACCACATGACTTTGCTCAGCCAATCGGATGGCATGTAGGTCATACTAAGCCTGTCCCGGCTTCCTCCCGTCAGATGTGTGGAGGCAAGCCAGGTGACAGAGCTGTTGCAGGTGTGTATTGGCAAACATTTGCTTTTCCCGTTTTAATGCATTTTTTAACACCAACTAACTTATGCAACTTAGATGCTGATTACTGTGAGCCAGAACCATAGTGTTGTTGTGCACTGAACAGAATGGAATTGGTGAGTTTGAACTTTTAATTGACTGTTTGTATTGCTACCAGCTGACGTTAATTGGCTGCTGCCGGTCCAAACAATTTGATTTTGATTTGACCGATATTTGTTGAATAAAAAATGTTGTGAAGCTACATAGTATGCATTTATATAGCAGTTGAAATGTTTCAGTTAAATCCTTATTGGTTAAGTATAATATATTTAACCAATATATTGTTTGTTTATTTATAAATTGTGTACACAGGAACAAGAACAACTTAATGTATTTAGCTTAATTGGCTGACATTTTTGTATTATTCTTGTGCTTTCTTATTGGCCTTGTTTATTTAATGCAGGCCAGGTGAACCTTTTTTGGGGTATGAAAAAGGATGGCGAGCCAATGAATGGCTAGGAGCAGGACTCATTCTGCAATTGAAGCTTCCACTGGTTGGGTAGGAAGCTATCAAAGACGACGCTCTGTCCCCGTTTTCCAAATACACTGATTTCCGCAATCATACACACCATTCCCCCTCATTTATGGACAATAGCGCTTGGACATCTCTCATGGACATTCAGATAAAACTCATGGACTTCAGTGTGGATCAGTGGATTTGATGTTAACATGTGTTCTTTATGGGGAACTGTTTTTTGAGAATCTGTATTGCTTGGTATAAGCCAGAAGGATTTGCTTAGTTGTCTTTGTGCACCCCCACTGGGTTTTTGATTAATTGAATAGCTGCAGCAGGAGTGATTATTTAAGTTTTCTTTTTCTTTTCTTGTTATTTTTCTTTGGGGTTTGGTTAAATACATGGTACCTGCAAAAGCATTTGTGTTGTGTGTATTTATTAATTACTGCCCATCAGCTCCAGTAGCATTTCTAAATATTCTGATTAATAATAACCATAATATTTCACTCAATACCTAGCCTGTATTAATTCATTAGCGCTTCATCAGTGTTACATGGTGATATTCCTAAAACTTTTCCACACAGAGGCAGAGTCATTCTCTGAGATCTGCTGCTGCATCTTCTCAGAGTGCTGATGTTTATCAATGTGAACCTGTACTTGGCCTCTCTGTAGCAGCACTGAAGTACCAGGGCACCCATACGCGGCGCCATCTTGGTTGAAATAAAAACTTTTGCAGAAACAAGTTTCTGTGATATATTAAAATAATATGATCATTTAGCCTAATATACAGAGAGATTTGGAGAGAGCAAAAAAAAGGAGAGAAAGTCAGAAAAGAATGAGCCAGCACACGAGAGCTAGTAGACTATGATAAAAATAACATTTTATGAAAATTCTGACATTGTGATACAAAATCACATCTCTCAATAGAGGCTTATCAAAGTACATACCCATTTTATGTATACACTCTGCAGTCAGAGATAATAGTACAGTGATTCTGACAGCTTTTTCTTCTTCTCTTTAGGGCTCAGCATGGAGGATCTAACTAATGCCGTTAAAAGTGCACTGAAGAAAAATGATGCTGCTGCAGCTGTGAAATTGATTAAAGAGTTTTTAAAAGACCAAAATAATATTCCACTAAAGATCGCCATCACAGGAAAATCTGGTGCTGGTAAATCCACCTTTGTTAATGCCTTCAGAGAGATGTCCGATGATGACGAGGGAGCTGCTCCTACTGGTGTTACACAAACAACCTTACAGTGTACAGCGTACCCCCATCCAAACTATCCCAATGTCACTTTATGGGATCTTCCTGGGATTGGCACCACCAAGTTTCCAGCTGATGAGTACCTGGAGCTTGTTGGATTTGAGAAGTTTGACCTCTTCATCATCATCTCAGACACTCGCTTCAGAGAAAATGAGGTGAAACTCGCAAAGGAGATTCAGAAGATGAAGAAAAAGTTCTACTTTGTTCGATCAAAGATTGACAACGATATACAAGCTGAGAGAAGAAAGAGAGACTTCAATGAAGGGAGGACTCTTAAAAAGAACAGAGAAAAATGTGTTCAAGGTGAGTTCCTCTTTTATTAAGATAAAATATACTTTTCCCAAATGTTTTTAATTATTTATTTATATTATGAAAAGTGTGGTTGTTTTAGATTAAATATCATTTATCACACAGATCTTGGAGAACTAGGCATCCCATTTCCACAGGTCTTCCTTGTGTCCAGCTTTGAGCGCAGTCTTTACGACTTCCCTTTCTTACGTGAGATGTTCAAGAGAGATCTTCATGCACACAAGAGAGATGCTCTGCTGTTTGCCTTGTCTGATATCAACCAGAAGATCATCAACGAGAAGAAAGAAACTTTTCAGTCTAAAATAAAATACTACTCTATTCTGTCTGCAGCTGTAGCAGGGGTTCCAGTTCCTCTGCTTTCTGCTGCTGTTGATCTTGGCTTGATCATTAAGGTTGTCAAAGAATATGTAGCTGGTTTTGGTCTTGATAAGTCATCTCTGGAGAGACTGGCTGCCAGCTCAGGTGTTCCATACACTGATCTGTTTGCTGTTATCAAGTCACCACTGGCTAAAGGAGAAATAAATAAAGAGCTCATCCTGAAGATTTTGACCCAGCTAGCATGCACAGCTGCATTACTAGCAGCAGAGGAAGGATTCAGATGGATTCCAGTAATTGGAATTTTAGCATCAATCGGTCTCTCTTTTACATTTACCAACAAAGCTCTGAATCATTTCCTCGACACTCTTGCTGAGGATGCTGAGACGGTCTTTAAAAGGGCTCTGAATTTGGATTAGTAACTAAATTACAAAGTGATTTAGTATCAAATTTGAAGTGGCAATGTACAAAATAATAATAATCTTCCAAGTCAACTGAACAAATCTTTCTATATAAATAAATCAGTAATGCAAACCATAATCTAGATGTTTGAGGAATAGCTGTAAATGGCAGGTCTCATTTCATTTGATCACAGCAGCTCACTTCTCGCAGCAACACTCAAACGTTCCTCTTTGTATCAATACAGGATCAAATGGGATCTATTCAGATATAAACTGTGTACAATGTGTTTACTACTTATTTGTGTAATTGTTAATATTAGCACTACATTGAGATGGGACTGATTGTTTTACAATATTTTAATTTAATAGGTTCCACTATTATAAATTATTAGAGTACTTGATGTATCTACACATATGAACTGTAATATTTACCATCACTGTCTGTTATTAATAAAAAATTTTGTACATTTAAATAATATACATTAGTGTGAGAAATAGGTGCAGTGATTTCTGCAATGTACAAAAATACATGGAAACACAGTATATGAGGTAAAAACAGAGTTTGTACATTTTTCACAAGCTTGAAAGTTAATATTTGCTATGAGCACCTTTATTCTCCAGCACAGTCTGAACTCTGTAAGGGAAGCTTTCTGTAATTTCTTTAAGCAGTCTTCAGTAATAAATCTGGCTTGTTGAAGGACATTAAAAGCTCTTCTTTGGATCTTTCTGATTTTCTCTCACACTGTCAGGCTCTGGGGAGGTCGAACCTGTTATGGGTGGCGGTCACCAAAAGGAAAAAAGGAGTCAAGCACAGACACCACTTGGAGGCACAGTCAGTAAATGCAACAATGTACCAAATTTACAGCAAGTGCTATTAAACAAGATGACGATAAATAAAGACAATGCAAAGCGTGATTCCGCTAACACAGAGTAATGATCTAAACCAAAAACAAAGTGTTGAGCATAAAGCATAATTTGGCACAGACTAGAAAACCTAATAATCAGTACAAACTACCCAACTAGTTTTACTCACAAAGAACAGAATATTATCGTAACTGAGCTCATCATAGTTTCATATTGCAAACACTACATAGCGATCTTATCCTTTAACATTACACAACTCAGCACAAACTTTCTTATGATATAAAGAAACTACTTGCTCAGCATCCTAACACAGAACTAAGTTATATTTCATTCAACCATACAACAACAATAATGTGCAGTAAATCATTTAGAGGCAGTGAGGGAATCCATGAGGGAGCCTTGGGGCTGTCGTGGTCACAGGTAGGGAACCCGACACTGGGTACTATCTAGAGCAGAAACCCTGGGAACGGGGAGAAAGGAGGTGGGGAGGGAGCATGAAATTGTAGAGTCACTGAAATGAGGAAAACCGTGTTAAACGTCAGTTGACGGACACCAGTCCAAAAGTTGTGCTGCGTTTGCAAAAAAACATCTTGCTTCTGCAAGCAGAGGCAAAGCATAGAGGATGCTCAGGATGAGCTGTAATGGACAGCCAGCGAGCAATCCGTGAGCCGCAGTTTGTTGGGCAGAGGGGCAGGCAGGTGAGTGTGACCAAAAGAGCATTGAGTAATCCAGCGACAATCCACTGTTCGAGAACGGCGACGTAGCTCCTTGTCATCCAATGACAATACTGTGAGCAAAAGATACAGCATTAATACAACCATAACCAACACAATCTGATCAGTCTGTGACGGCCTTCACTAGCGAGAATTCGCTGACGATCTGGCGAGGAATGATTGTGTGCACTGGCCTTAAATCTCTGCCGCTCAATTACTCGCATGTGCCGCCGGTCTAGGGAAATGAGAGACCTCCGCCCCGGTAAGAAGACGCCAGGGACACCGATCCCACAGACTCACCCAGACCATGACAGAACCATTACTGATATTTTTACACTATTTTTCTATCCAGGTACTTTTAATGCATTGGCATTGTGTTTAGGGTCATTGTCATGCTGATAAATGAAGCTGTGGAGGTAAACACAGACGACAGGGGAGCTCTCAATTAACACTCCTGAATACAACTGAATACTTTTCACTCTGACACACCAACAACACCTCCTGTAAACTGGGTGTGAGCGGAGCCCTCCAGTGGTCCACCCCCCCGAACACCCAGTAGGGTCATCCCCTAGTCCAGAACCTTTGCTTTAATTAAAAGTCCAGAACAGCTTAACCGGGAAGGTTGAAAACTGGCTGAGGGGAACAGAGCCTGAGGACCAGGCTGGCATGGTTATTGAAGTTAACTCAGAAAGATCAGAGAGAGAGAGTCTAAAATATCAGCAGTTATTAAAATTGGAATTTTTTTCAGTAATGGTTACATTTTATTTGTAAAGAAGTTCATTAAGTCATTACTAGTCAACATTAAATCAGGAGTGGGGAACTCCAAGTACCAGGTACCAAGGCTCGGTGTGCTGCAGGTTTTAGAGCTCACCCTGGGTCAGCACACCTGAATCAAATGATTAGTTCATTAGCAGGCCTCTGGAGAACTTTAAGACATGTTGAGGAGGTCATTTAGCCATTTAAATCAGCTGTGTTGGATCAAGGAACACATCTAAAACCTTCGGGACCTGAGGCCTGGAGTTCCCCCACCTCTGTGTTAAAGGGATGTTTTGTCAGCCTGGTTACAGAGCTGAAGAGAAACCTGGGGTTGTCCTTTCATTTTCATTTATTTATTTCAAACTTGGTACAACAATTCAAACAAACCAACCACACTTTCTATCAAAGAGCACTACAACCATGTGTGAAAAGGAGCAGGAAGAAGAAAATATTCTTATTAAACCCCGCCCCCTATCTACAATCCAATTTATATTACAAGTGGGCACCAAAAATCAGGGAACAAACTAACATTAACATTTATCTCTGGTCCTAAACCAAACAGCAAATTTACAATCAGAATATACCACTCCACATAGTAACAAGGAGAAAAATAAAATTAAAATAAATAAAACAAAAAATCATAATGGATCCTTTTTCAATGAACTCCAATTTCATTCGCATTCTTCATATTGAGTTATCGTTTTAAGCATGTAACACTTTTTAAAACAATGTAAACTTATACAATTCTTTAAATTATAATGAAGAGAGTTCCAAAGTCGTATACCCCTAACCGTTGTACTCATTAATCTTTGTGTTGTCCTAGCTAACTGATGCTTAAAATAAAATTTCCTTCTGCTGTCTTCTCCCCCGAACACATTAAAAATACTCTTTGTAACTTAAAGGGCAAAATATTATTTTTAGCCTTAAACATAATTAATAGTGTCCTGTAATTTCACTAAATCTCCTAATTTTAATAATTTCGATTTTATAAATAATTTATTTGTATGTTCTCTATATTTAACATTATGAATCATTCGCATCACTTTCTTCTGTAATAAATATGGAGGTTTTATGGTATTTACATATGTATCCCCCCAAATTTCTACACAGTAACTAAAGTATGAGAAAAACAATGAGAAATATAAAATGCGCATTGTTTTATAATCTAATAAATCTCTTACATTTCCCAAAATACAAATGTTTTTAACCATCTTCTTTCTAATATACTCAATATGAGATTTCCACGTCAAATTTTAACTCAGTAACCAGTAGGTGGCAGACAGTCACTCTGACAAATAAGTGACTGGCAAGTAATCCCTTATAAAAGTAACACAGGTCAGTTATGGTACCAGAAGCCGTCAGTAACACAGAACTGCTGTTTTGCTGTGTTTCAGAGCAATAAGCCTCAGTGTGCACCTGGATGAACCTCGTCCTCCTTCAGTGTGTAACAGTGACAGTAAAACTAAGGCACAGCAGTGAATGTTTGGAGTGGGGGCTCGATGAACAGAGGGAGAGGTTGGTTAATGGAGGTATGGAGAAGCTGCAATTGGGGACGGTGAAACAGATTGATTCCTCTTCTAGTCTTAAATACTGCCTGCAGATTGGCCTGGATCTCCCACAGGTGAGTATAACAGGTGTAGTGACGAAGGCTCTGCCCAGAGGCGGGAGCACAGGGACACCATGGAAAAATCCAGATAACTCAGCCGGCCCATGACCACTTCTCATTTGAGACTTTTGTTAACAGCAGATCCTTAAACTTAGTTACAGCACTTTCAGAAAGACACCTACTGTGATCAGAGTCCTCATGTGTAATCCATTATTCTAAATGTAAAGGCTACTGTAACTGATTTTCAACATCTGGATGTTAAAATCATCTACAATTAATATTTTTATCAGAACTGAGCACTAAATGAGATAAAAGTATGACAATCAGAAACTCTAAGGCCCAGATGGACGATCAATAACAACAAATAAAACTGTTTTTTTTTAAGTTTTCTGGCTTTCAAGTGAATTAAAACTACGTCTACATTGTTGGGTGTTTGATGAGTAAGAATGCTGCCACTCCTCAGCCTGTGCTGCGAAGAATCTGACGGTCAGGTGACTCATTAAACTCGCATACTCATCCTGCTGTAACCAGGTGTGTGTGTGTGTGTGTGTGTGTGTGTGTGTGTGTAACCTCCGCCCAAACTCAGGTACAATCAGTCTAACTTAAAAAACCACAAAACGAACATTCTTTGGTTTTGACTCATCGCCCATCACAGCAGCAAACACAGTGATCTTATTGGCTGAGCTCTGCTGTAGGCGGTGCTCGTGGATTTTAAGTATTAGACTCTAATTGTCCAAACAGTGTCTGTGGTTCACTTCATTAACCATGATGTTTGCTGCTCTTGCAGGTGCAGCTCTGTTATCAACACACAGCCCTCCTCTCTGTTTCCAACAACACCTGCAGTTAAAAAAAGAGTAAAAACAAACTGGTTGGTTCAGTTTGCAGCATTTTCATTGGTCGCTCTCTGTGGATCTGCCCTCACCTGTTCTGCACCTCTATAACAACCAGGTGAGAAAAAACTGAAGCACCGATCGCTGTTGTTGCTGATCCAGCTGTGTGTGTGTCAACAGTACGAAGAATCCAGTGAGTACCTGCTGTTAGCTTAAACTTAGTTAAGTGACAGGTTTGCTGTCCTATCAGAACAAGAATGAGAATAAGCACAAATTATTTTTTCAAGTCAAGGAAAAGGGAAAGTTTCAGGTTTATAGAAAGATATTATTTGTAAATTAATGTTAATGTTGGATGTAAAAATACTCAACAAACCCCAGGAAGAGCCTTTGGTGGCCTCAGTGTTTACTTACTGCCCACATGTGCTGTGTCCGTGTGTCGTCAGTAACATTACTGATAATCAATAGTATATGTCTGCATTCCAAAATAAGTCTTTATGTTTTTCTTTCTGTCAGGATGAGCATGGAGGATCCAGATGATTCGTGCCCAGAACAAATTCCTGGAGTTAAAGAAGCCCTGAAGAACAACGACACGGCCGGAGCAGCAAAAAGGATTAAAGAATATTTAGAAAAGCAAACCAATGTCTCGTTAAATATCGCCATCACAGGAGAAAGTGGTGCAGGTAAATCCACCTTTATTAATGCCTTCAGAGGCATCGGTGACGAAGATGACGGAGCCGCTCCTACTGATTTTGCAGAATCCTCAAAGGATCCTATACCATACTTCCATCCAGACTATCCCAATGTTTCCTTATGGGATCTTCCTGGAATTGGCACCCCGAAGTATCCAGCTGACAAATACCTGAGGTCTGTTCCATTTAAGAAGTATGACTTCTACATCATCATCTCAGCTGATCACCTCACAGAAAACGATGTGAAACTCGCTAAGGAGATTCAGAGGATGATGAAAAAGTTCTACTTTGTTCATTCAAAGACAGACAATGACATAAATGTTGGGAAAAAGAAAGACTTCACTGCAGAGGGGACTCTGTCAAAAATCAGAAAAAACTGTGTTGAAGGTGAGTTTTTCTTTTGTTAAGTAAACAATTTACTATCCCAAAGTTAGGAATTATTTATTTAGATTGTGAAAACTGTGGTTGTGTTATGTTTCTTTTATTACTCAGGTCTTCAGAAACAAGGCATCGAGTCTCCACAGGTCTTCCTAGTGTCCAGCTTTGAGCCCCGCCTGTACGACTTCCCTCTGTTACGTAAGACCCTAGAGAGAGAACTTGATGTGCAGAGAGATGCTCTGCTGCTGGACACGGCCAAAATCAACCAGGAGATCATCAGGAAAAAGAAAGAAGCATTTCAGTCCAAAATAAAATACTACTCTACTCTGTCTGCAGGTGTAGCAGGTGTTCCACTTCCTGGACTTTCTACTGCTGTTGATATAAGCATGATGGCTATAGTTGTCAGAGTATGTAGCTGAGTTTGGTCTTGATAAGCCATCTCTGGAGAGTCTTGCTGCCACCACAGGTGTGTCATACACTGATCTGTAGTCTGTCATTACATCAGAACTGGTTAAAGCTCACCAGGCTCCGCCAGGGCTGCCCTTTGTCTCCGGTTCTGTTCATAATTTTTATGGACAGGATTTCTAGGCGCAGCCAAGTGGCGGAGGGCTTTCGCTTTGGTGGCCTCAGAATCTCATCTCTGATTTTTGCGGATGATGTGGTTCTGTTGGCTTCATCGGGTGAGGGCCTCCAGCTCGCACTGGAACGGTTCGCAGCCGAGTGTGAAGCAGCGGGAATGAGGATCAGCACCTCCAAATCTGAGGCCATGGTTCTCAGCCGGAAAAGGATGAGTTCCTACCCCAAGTGGAGGAGTTCAAGTATCTTGGGGTCTTGTTCGCGAGTGATGGGAGAAGGGAGCCGGAGATCGACAGACGGATTGGGGCTGCAGCTGCAGTAATGCAGACGCTGCACCGGTCCGTCGTGGTGAAGAGGGAGCTGAGTGTAAAAGCGAAGCTCTCAATTTACCGGTTGATCTACGTCCCTACCCTCACCTATGGCCACGAGCTGTGGGTAGTGACCGAAAGAACGAGATCGCGGATACAAGCGGCAGAAATGAGCTTCCTCCGAAGGGTGGCTGGCCTCTCCCTTAGAGATAGGGTGAGAAGTTCGGCCATCCGGGAGGGGCTCAGAGTAGAGCAGCTGCTGCTCCACATTGAAAGGAGCCAGCTGAGGTGGTTCGGGCATCTGACAAGGATGCCCCCTGGGCACCTCCTGGGTGAGGTGTTCCAGGCATGTCCCACTGGGAGGAGGTCCCGGGGCAGACCCAGGACACGCTGGAGAGATTATATCTCTCGGCTGGCCTGGGAACGCCTTGGTGTTCCCCCGGATAAGCTGGAGGAGGTGGCTGGGGAGAGGGAGGTCTGGGCCTCTTTGCTTAGGCTGCTGCCCCCGCGACCCGGCCTCGGATAAAGCGGATGAAGATGGATGGATGGATGGATGGATGGTTAAAGCTCAAGTAACTGCTGAACTCATCCTGAAGTTGTTGGTCTCAGCTGCAAGCATAGTTGCATCAATGGCAGCAGAGGAAGCAACCAGATGGATTCCAGTATTTGGGATTGCAGCATCAATGAGCCTCTCATTCATCACAACCTACAAAGCTCTGAATTATTTCCTCAATGAGCTTGCTGATGATGCTCAGAAAGTGTTTGAAAAGGCCCTGGGTGGGATGACCAATTAATAGCATTTAAGTTCAGTGTAAACCCAGACGACAGCAGCTGCACGCTCCACAGAGGCCCAGGGTTACTATTAATGTGAGAAATGTAATGTTGTCCTTTGAGATTTTAACATAAGGATCATCGCAGGGATCAAGCTGGACTCATGATCTTCACCAGCAACTTTCTTACAGGGAAATCGTCAGACCTCCACTGTAGGCCCGCCCCAAAAGATTTGGCTTTGTTATTTTAATCCATTGATTAATGAGGGGTCACTGAAGTGCCATCTTTTTAAAAAGTTGGTCTTACTGTCCTTACAGATGTGGCAAGTGACAGAGAAAACATGCTACTGTTTGCCCATATTTAATAATCAGCTCTGCACAGGAGCTGAAGCAGAGTCCAGCCTCTTGCTCTTATATTACTCATAATAAAACTACAGTAACAATAGTTAGCACTGAGCAGTCCTGTGCTTTTCTCTTGATTTCTTTAGTCAGGGTAAATTCATTTACCTGTGGGGATTAGCTAAACGAACTTTACAAAACGAATTTCCCCAATATCCGAGTGCTCAGGACCGATGTGACTGCAGCTGCCAGTCAAATCTGTTATCATGAAGTTGCACCCGAATTTAATAGCATTATGGTAGTGTTAGATTATAATATTATTTTATGCCATGTTAGACCCCTAATTAAAGATTGTGAATTATTATGTAGTTTTAGTTTGCATTATTCTCCTGAATTACAAGAAGGTGATAACTATTGCATTTGTTAAACTGATTTGCATTACATTAGACTGCTGATTTATTGTGAATGAATGATATTGTTTTATGATGCATTATACTGCTGAGTTATAAGAAATACTGTTCGCAGAAAGTCATCGCCTTATTTGTCTGATTAGAAGAGAACAGAACATGCTGGAGTTTTCTGCCCCATCTCAGCAGGAGCAGATAAACAGGGAGCCAAGGTCGTAGCTTAGGCGCCGTGTGAGAGAAAGCATGTGAATGTTTAGGCTTTTATGATAAGGTGGGAGAACCAGAGGCTATAAGAGTTTGATCAATGCTCCACCATTTTGAGATCTGAGGCTGTCTGCATACAGTGTCCATCTCCCACGCGTGTGACTATTAAAATCATCGTCTGACTCAACCCGGCCGGACCAGTGTTGTTATTGTGGTTTTTCCTCTTGTCTCCATCCCCAATTTTGAACTCGTAACAGCAGTAATTAGAAACAAACTTATGAGAAAGGAGACCCACTGAACACAAATCCACACGATAACAACTACTGGAAATGAAAGAAAGAATCTTAGGAGAAAAATTATCTGAGGAGAATAAAGTTATTTTAGTCTGACCCCTGCGTGAAGCCATTTATAATAATTATAAATTATAATTATTATAATTCTCTGATCTGCTGCTCACCACAAACAAGCACACACAGATATTTTGGACTTGAGTTTTACAGCTTTTCCTACTGATAAAAACGTCCCTTATGGCCCTTCATACTACACACAGTAATTCATCTAAAAACAATGAAATGACAAAGTTTGTTTTTTCTTTCTGCTATAGAATTTATTTAATTTTTTACAGACTCCAAAAAAGTTAAGTAAGAAATACTGGATAGTGTGGGCAGTGAGCTAGCAGAACATTTTCTGTCATTCCATTTCTTACAGTTTCAGTCCAGAGAGTCGTGCTGACAGATTTCTTTTTCCTCATCCTGTAGAAAAACAGTTCGGTCTGTGACTTCTTCACACTGACAGAACGTTTCACTGGTCCGGCCAACTTAAGGTCAAAGTGGACCGTATTTGGCCTGTAATGTAAAAAAAAGTTTGAGACCCCTAATTTAGACAATATATAATGTAGAAGAACTACAGAAATGATGTGATGCTGTTTTTGTAGTTCTTTGTTGACATCAGCACTTTGGGCTGAATCAGCTGAAATGATGAGACTGGAGTTATTATTTGTAGCTTTCAGCATAATAACCTCTTTTGATACAGACTGTATGGGGTAAGGTAACATGTAGAAGTGCGTAGCACAGAAACTAGATTGTGATGAGTGGTCACTGCTGTTTCAGTGAGGAACTGCAACACAAATGATATATGTATGATTTATAACTTTTATCTCCATCATTGTTGATAACATTTTATTGGTACACATTTATTTTCTATGAGTTTGTCTTAAAACATTCAGATGCTCCATGTCATTCATGGTGAATAATAAATATTCAGCAGAACGTACAGGAGAGGACTTGATGCACAGACTGGATCGATCATGCAGCTGATGAGGCTGTCATCAGGACATCAGCAGCACATTGCTGACTAAGAAGAATATTGATAGATGCATATGAAGTAAAATAAAAAGTCAGATTTAGAAAAAACCCTCACTGCTCAAAATAATAAAGTCACATTATGTTGGCCTGAAGTCTGAAGTGAGAGGAGCAAAATATCCTGGTCAAAAATGACTCCAAGGTTCCTCACAGTGTTACTGGAGGCCAAGGTAATGCCATCCAGAGTAAGAATCTGCTTAGATACCATATTTCTAAGATTTTCAGGGCTGAGTACAATAACCTCAGTTTGATCTGAATTAAGAAGCAGAAAGTTAGCGGCCATCCAGGTCTTTATGTCTTTAAGACATTCCTGCAGTTTAACTCATTGGTGTGTGTTATCTGGCTTCATGGACAGATAGAGCTGGGTGTCATCTGCATAGCAGTGTAAATGTATGCTATGTCTTCTAATGATGCTGCCTAAGGGAAGCATGTATATTGTAAACAGAATTGGTCCTAGCACTGAACCCTGTGGAACTCCAAAATTAACCTCAGTGTGTGAAGAGGACTCTCCATTTAGATGTACAAACTTATGGAATCAGAACAATGCCACCTTGAAACGAAACCGAAAAAAATATTGAAACCGAAAAAAAATATTGTAACTGAAATAAATGTACTGAAAAATCTTGTATTGAAACCGAAAAAAAAATTTATAGTGAAAAACAATTAATTGAAACTGTAATTTTTTTGTTTTCGCTTACAATTTTTTTTTTTCGGTTTCAATCCATTTTTCGGTTTCAAACCATTTTTTTCCGTTTTCAAACCATTTTTCGGTTTCAAACCATTTTTCAGTTTCAAACCATTTTTCAGTTTCACTCTGCTGGCACTGTTTTGGCGTCCGGGGGCGCGCTGGGGGGGCGGGGTTTCCGGCCCGCATGTATTTGCATACATTATAGAGGCCACTAGTGCTGACCAAGCTGCCGTCTTTCTCTCTTCCCTTCTTTCAATGGCTGCTTCAATTTCAGCTTGAACCTCCAAACCGCAAGTAAGTAATCATTTTTTGTCGTCTTTCTTGCTGTCCCACTGGGCTGGACATTAGTTTAGTTTTTTTAGCTACATCTGGTGAAGTTGTGGTAAAATGCTGGTATTAGCCTATTCGTCGTAGCAAGCTAGCCTGAAGCTAATATTTGCTAAATTTAGGGACACCCGTGTCTCTTCAGGAGTTGGAGGCCGTTGTTTTAGGAGCGGATCTCAGGATCTGAACAGGCAGTGTTGGGCAGTAACATAATACATGCACCGGCGTTACGTATTTAAAATACAAAATATGAGTAAATGTATCCGTTACAGTTACTGTTCAATAGGTGATATTGAGAATACAGTTAGTTTGTTGAAATAAATGGATTACATGGTGGTGTTTACCTGTTTCATATGTTAGGCTATGGTCTCTCTATTTTTGGTAATTCCACGCCGGTGGAAACCCAAACAAAACACACAATAAGAGCCTCTAAAACTTATTATACAAAAATTATTCAATATGAAGGCAATAGCAGAGTGTTACAGGCATCGCCCTAAACAATGTAGCCTCATGGGCAGTGTAGTCCGTGCTGCAGGGAGAATGGACTGCTATACCCGTTATGTGTCTGTGAGCGAGGGAGGGAGAGAAAGGAAAAGTACGAGCTGTCACGGAGCAGAAACGGGAGCTGGAAGCATGTAAATATAATAATAACCACTAAAGCCAAAAGAGTGCCTGACGAGCCCAGCTGTAAGCTGTTAAGACTCGACTGTACACAGTGTTCGTGTTTTCCTCCGAAACAATAAGCAGCCTTTCAACGCCTCTCTCTGTCTCTCGCTAGCAAACTTGACCCAGACAACAAAGTAAAGCTAGTTTTCAGCTATGAGCCCGACACGAACCGGACGTATCAGCCAGAGGTCCCTTTACTACGGTTCGGAGCCGCTCACCTGTTTTATATACGCGCTGAATAGTTTTCTATACGAGATCGCTGCAAAAAGTGCAGCCTTACCTAATGTCCACGTACTGTTACTCATTTATATTAAGATTTTAACATCTAGTTGGTATTGGTATGGCGAGTAGCCTTCAGTAATAGTAATAAATCACACAGCAATAGTGCATTCATGTAGTTGTAAAGTATTCAGAATACATTACTTCTATAATCTTTGGTGGAATACATTTTAAAATTAACCTTCCCAACACTGTCAACAGGTTAGCACCTCATACCACAGTGCAGCAAAGCAGTCTCATGAGCGCTGGGAAGGACGAGCCCAGAGCCCAAAACAGACAGTGCAGGAGATGACAAGGTTAGTAATTGTATGGTGAAAATTATACTTTATCTTGATTGGCAAAAGAAAAGTAAATACAAAATCTGCTTCTCACATATAGGGCATTTCCAAAACTTCAATTTCTTTCATTACAGCTGTCCTGTGCCAGAAGTTCTGTTGACCCACAGTGAGAGGCATCATTTCAGAAACACCAGGAGGACTGAAACTCGTCGCCAGGATCAAGCAGGGCTCGTGATCTTCACCAGCAGCTCCCTCACAAGAAGGATGAACCCAGCATTTCATGAACACTGATGGAGACCTTTGCTTTGTGTAATGTTAGAAGTACTCAGATAATCCTCAGAGGGTCTGGACTTTTACATAATATAATATAATAGAATTCAACTTTGTTGTCATTGCACATGCACAGGTACAGGGCAATGAAATGCAGTTTGCATCCATCCAGAAGTGCTTTAGCCATGATATAGATATATTACAATATATATTAGCAATAATATAGATATCTAAGTATATTACAGAAATGGGTCTATTATGGTATGTTACAATGTACATGGTATGAAGTATGTTAAGAATATTCTATAACTATAAGTATGTACAGGCTGTAGTGAGTACAAACTATGTACAGGCTATGAACAGGATATAAATATGAAAAACTATACAGAAATCTGAGATATACAGTTATACAGAAATGTGAACTATGCAAGTTATAAACAGTTGTAGGATTAAAAATTATCATATGTACAGAATGATTATTTACACAGAACTATACAGTAGTGCAGTTAAGTAATAGCTATAGTAATAGCTTTAAGTCCTGTAGAAAGTTAAATATATGTTGTGCTCACTGGTTACTCTAATATGAATGACTCTGAATTACTTTATGATAAATAACACACTATTGTCAAAAAACAGTGAAAGAATTCCAGATCACAAGTTTTTAGTTCAAATACAAGTAACAACCTTTGACTTTAATCAGGTTTTATTTAATTGTGTCAGAGAAAACATCATGTGCTCTTCATGTAGCTGAGTACATTCAGTGTTTAAAACAGAAGTTGTGCAGGTCTGAGATCAGCAGTTTTCTGAAACACCAAACTGAGGTACTGTAGTGACACAGTTACAGGGGTGATTAATCCTTTTGACTTTTTGTCTTTAACTTTATCAATAAAACAGCTGCAGCTTTCACTGACAGCACATGTGGTACTTTAACCTTTGTACTGTTTTCTTCAGTTAATTTTGGAGTTACTACAAAGATTGAAGATATAGGATGATCTGTCTGCTGTCACTGGGTGGTGCTGAGGTCTGAATCTGAGGACAGCTCCTGTAATCACAAACAGAACAGAATCATCACAAACTGAAATATAAAGTTTATCTCAAATCCGAAATACAGCTGATCCTTCTCCGTCCTCACACACTTGGGATCTGAAGTTGTTCAGTCCTACAGTTCTGCCGACAGCTTTTTATTTTTTTGTTTTAAAGGCCTTACTAACACATTTTCTAATATCATGTTTACCTTTGAGTTGTTGATGCTTTATAAATGGACATCTGCAAAGATGAGATGATGGAGCAGGTTTCAGTCGAGGTTCAGTCTGCTGCTGCATCCTGGTCACAACATACAGAGGTGTTATCAGCTCAGTATTGAACAAGAAATATTAATGTTTCAAATTATTTGTCCTAAAGGATGCAAGCTGTACAGAGTACTGCACATGTGACTTTGTGAACATAATTCATTACAAATAATTCGGACAGTTTTTTAACCTGAATATTTGTAACAAACTCAGTAAAAATCAAAAAAAAAGCTAAAAATATAATCAGGGGAAAATGTAACATTTTAACTTAAGCTGCCAAGCGGAAGTAGTTGGTTTCAGTACATAAGTATCGGGCTTTGCTATTTAATCCGTAGCTATTGACTAATGAGGGGAATTTAAAAGTTGGCGTTAATGTCCTTCCACATGTGGAAAGCGACACAAAACATGCTGCTGTTTGCACATATTTAATAATCAGCTCTGCACAGGAGCAGAAGCAGAGTCCAGCCTGTTGCTCTTACAGTATAATACTCATAATAAAAGTACAGTAACCGTGGTTAGTCACTGAGCAGCCCGGTGCGTTTCTCTTGATTTCTTTAGTCAGGGTAAATTCATTCACCTGCACGGGTTAGCTAAACGAACTTTACAAAACAAGTTTCCCCGACAGCCGAGTGCTCATTTTAGCTAGCTAGGTCCTTAGGTAGCTAGCTAAGGACCTAAATTACGGATTATCTTACAAACACATTTAACTTACCAGAATTAATGCGGTGGGGCCTCAGGTCCTCCTGTCCGGTAGTCCAAGTTACTGAAGAACACCTCAGGCTGTCACTTTGAAATAGTCGGTAATGTAAACGCTGGACCTCTCGGCATCTGCCATTCCCGAACAGACACGTGCGAGTTTGTCCGTGACCGCAGCCGCGTCGTCAGTGTTATCTCCAGTCATTGGTCAGCATTATAATGTATGCAAATACATGCGGGTCGGAATCCCCGCCCCCCAGCGCGCCCCGGTACGCCAAAACAGTGCCAGCAGAGTGAAACGGAAAAAAAGTGGATTGAAACCGAAAAGTGGATTGAAACCGAAAAAAAAAAATTGTAAGCGAAAACAAAAAAATTACAGTTTCAATTAATTGTTTTTCACTATCAATTTTTTTTCGGTTTCAATACAAGATTTTTCAGTACATTTATTTCAGTTACAATATTTTTTTTAGGTTTCAATATTTTTTTCGGTTTCGTTTCAAGGTGGCATCGTTCTGATTCCATACAAACTGGAGTCTATTAGATTGATATGATACAAACCACTGCAGCACAGTACCTGTAACACCTACAGCATGTTCTAATCGCTCTAATAGGATATTATGGTCGACAGTATCGAACGCTGCACTGAGGTCTAGCAGGACAAGCACAGAGATGAGTCCACTGTCAGAGGCCATAAGAAGATCATTTGCAACCTTCACTAAAGCTGTTTCTGTGCTGTAATGAGCTCTGAAACCTGACTGAAACTCTTCAAATAAGCCATTCCTCTGCAGGTGAGCAGCGTATTCGCTTTATACCTCTGCCATGCACACCATGGTTGCTCAGTCTTCTCCTGATTGTGGATCTATTAATATTAACTACTGTCTTAAAGCCAAAGACTCATTTGTGACATCCCAGACAACATTTGTTTGAGATGTCACAGTTTGGCTTGAGAACCATGAAAAATAATTTGAGAGCCACCACTGTAAAGAGCCACCCTGGGTACACACCAGTATAACTGGTTTAAACCGTTTAAAAACAAACGGGCAGGTATAAACTTGCCTCTGTGGCTGGAATGTATGAAATCTGTTGGAACTCACTTTGAAAACCACACTTTAGTGTTGCTGCTCCAGCTCTTAATATTTAAGGTTACGAAGAATCCAGCGAGTACCTGCAGTGAGTACTTTTTTAAAGTTATATAAGCTTCAGGGTTATGTAATAATATTTTCTGTGAAGTAGTAATATTGCATGATTAGGACTTTTTGTCTTGTTTTTTCTCATAAAAACATCTCAGTGGATATTTTACTGCCTTTTAACCTTCATTTGAGTTACACAGTGGTGTTGTACACAGGATTTTCAGTTAAAGTGTAGGTCAGCACAGTTTTTCTACTACATGGATAAGTTTCTTAATGAGTAGCTGCTAAAAATGAGAATTTAGTATTTCTGTCAGTCTCTGGGTCACTGGTTTGGAGTTTTAGAGATGTTAATGGGGTTTCTAGTTTTGATTGTCTTCATATGAAAGGTCTGTTTTCTGTATTGTTGACATCCTGACTTTTTGATATCTGGTTATGTTCTGGTTATCAGTGCATTGACTTAATGGGAGGTTGTTCATTCCCGTTCTGTTCCTCCATCTTGTCCACGTGTTCAGTCTTCCTCCTCCGTGTCAAGCTCGTGTCTCAGTGTTACTTATTTCCTGTTTTATTTTGATAGTCGACGATAAAGTTTCTCTAGCTCATTGAGAATTAAATATGTACAAATAAAGGGAGTGACATTTTTGGGTCCATTTTAAAGTTTTCACTCTGTGGCGCTAGCGACCGGAAAAAACACGGAAGGGCGGACTTGAACAAAGGCTCGAAGGCTGTCCACAGCACATCTGTTTTGTTGTATACTCATTGTTTGTTCAATAAAGTTTCTATGACAAAAAAGGCTGTCCACAGCCGCTCACTTCCTGTCTACCTAGCCGTCGAAGGACACTACCTAAAATACGTAGGTAGAGAATCCCTCGGAGCATCCGTCTCCTGAATTCGGACACAGCAAATATGTCCTGAAGTTCTCCAGAGGCCTGGTAATGAACTTATCATTTGATTCAGGTGTGTTGACCCAGGGTGAGATCTAAAACCTGCAGGACACCGGCCCTCCAGGCCTGGAGTCTGACACCCCTGCTCCAATTAAACAAACCGAGAAGTCTGCTGCCGTTTGAAATCTTTTCTGGGATATCTGACAGTGTCCAGACCTCAAAGGTACAAACACACCTGGCGTATCCTCAATAGAAGGGGTGGAGCAAGAGCGCTGAACACGAAGAAGAAGATACACAGGGCCATAGGCGAGTTTATCAGAGCACCCCAACAACAACCATATCATTACGTCTATTAATATTTAGAGTACTTTAGTATTATTGTCTGGAAACTTCCACTGACGACACTACAGGATAGAATGAAAACAAGTTTCATGTCCAGTGTCGTGACGTTACAGTCTCTCACACAGAGGCTGGTTTGTCATTAATTGACTAAAGAAAAGACTTTTTGCTGTGGCAGAAAGAAGAATCAGCTCATTTAAAACTCACTTTAACCAGAATGTAGACAAAGTTCAAAGTGTTCTGATAATGTGGAGACTTAGAAAGTCACAGTAATGTCTCCACATTTTAACATTAGCTAATGTTTGTTAGCTCACTTTAACCCTCTGATCCACTGGTCTGGTGGGATATCAGGAGTTGCCATCCAAGCTGCTGGTGTACTTTAATATTTCAGTTTGTTAAAAGTTTAACAAACTGAAATATTAAAGCTCCAGGTCCAGCTGTTCCCCTCTATGTCAGCAGCAGCCTGTATTCAGTTTGCATATTGCTATAAACTGATATGGATCAGTTTTTTTATTTACTGTAATTTTTGGGTGACGGCACAGACAGAGAGAAGAGGACGGAGAAGGAGAGAGCAGGATGAAGACAGCAAAGAGAAACAGTTGAGAGTGGACGTGTGGTCAAACTCACCAAAAATTGTAAAGCCGTAGCTTCTGTTTTCCCACATTCACTGAATATGATTTCACATAACACCAGTGAACTCTACTGTTGTCGACTGTGGATCCATGTCTTGCTCCTATAACAATTATTATAA